ACCTCTATCAGTATGAGTAACCAACTGATTATATTGAAGTTTCGTGTTTTTTCTTTAACGTAATCCCTAAATTTCCTTTCACACCCAACCACATATAAATTCATTATATTCGTGCAGTCCCGATCCTTACAGCAGCTTGACGGAGGAAATTTATCTAATAGAATGTAATCTTCCGCACTATTTTTTCCACAACATTGCAGCTAACTCAGAGAAATAATTTAAATAACTCTATTATTGCAATAATATTTTTTTGTCAATAAAGATACTTCTTACCCATTGTTCATAGCTTGATAAAGTGCTGTTATCAAAATCATGTTTATCCCATAACTCATCAAAGCCCTGCTTCAGTTCTGATGGCATTCCTTCACTCGCTGCTGTGTAACTCAAACTTAGGAGCACAAGTTGTATTATCAGCAACAAAACCATTATAACAGCAAACTTCAACAAAAGTTTAATATTAAAATTTAATAAAAATAGATTTAAATATATCCTTACACATATTAGCATTTTTCTGGATTTCATGTAAATGCCAACAAAACCAAAAATAGAAATTAGGAAAACTACAACTCCTAACAAAATGATTAAAGCTCCAAGTAGATTTTCGCCAAGATCAATAGTTCTCTCATTCTCTCCATTTACGGTATTACAGAGCCATACGCCAAACCAAATCAATATGACACCAAACAGCTGTGAAATAAAATGATATTTGTAGATATAAAAAATCTGTCTATCAAATTATAATATCAGAAATATCGGAATTAAATAATTTATTTAATAGCTACCTCAAGATAAGGAAATAAGCTTTTTGAATTAATGGTTATAAATAGTTATACACATCATTATCTTTAGATTATTTTATTAAGTTCAGACATTAACATCAAGAACAGCGATCATAAAATAATAATGAGTGATATTCTGAGGCCATGTCTGAAACTCCAACTATACTTGATAGAACTCTGAATGAAATATTGATTATTATAACAAAGCAAAAGCTTTGGCGTATCAGTACCTCTTGATTAATGTAACAAACCAACAGCTTCGGGATATCGATCCAAAAAACAATGTGGGCGCCACTTAACTACATTCCTCATTAATTCCTATCATAATATCAATATCACACTACATTTCTTTCTATAAGAGTGACACTTAACTTTAGATGAAAAAAAACACAACCATAAATGATATTAAAGAGTCAGGAGAGCAGTAACATTTCTCTTGTTATTTAGTTTTTTCATTTCATCATATGTTAGGTTATGTTATTATAGTATTTGACCAACTATTTAGACCCTACAGGTACTATTCAACACGGGACTGTATTACTTATGGCACAATTGAGGGACTCTTATAAATTGCTGGATGATGAGAGATCTTAAGACATGTTTCTTCTTCCGCCTTATCTTTACAACGACTGCAATATTCATTAAGGAAGGCTCTTAACCTGAGCCTGAGCGCATGCATCCCAAATAATCAGCAACCGTTTATATAAGCTACGACTTTAAGATTGTCTGTTCTTATATGGCTAATTTGAATTTTTGTTATCAAATATCGCCCACATTAGCTTAGATATTATATATGTATCTTCATTTTCCCAAGACCTATTCTCTTCTTGAAGAAAACTATTCAAGTTAACTAACAAAAATAACTTACAAGTGGCGAAAGCTATTCCAATCTCAATTCATTTTGCTTTTAGGGGAAGATTAGTATTCTGTCTAACCAATTTATAAACCCTGCAATTCCTTACTATTTTGATGTATATCAACACTACCTGATTTCTTCATTTATCATACATACCTTCACTTTCTGAAGTGAAGTTTTTAAATACATTATCAAGTTTTTTGCTGCTCAGGTGTTCTATGTAACCTTATCATTCCGCGATCAAATCTCTATTAACATCTGTTCTTGGATGAACCAACACAAAATTTATTGCATTTGCTTTTGTAGTAATCTAGTATTAATTTAGATTGTATTAAACCTGTAAGACTTGAAAAAATTTTTATATCTTCTGTTTTTCTTGACCTGCTAGCATTACTTTCTATACTACTCTGTCCATGATGAAAATGGGTTTGGATCCTATTATTAGTAAAGAATGTTCCTTTCAGTTAGTTCACCGTCCCAGAACCACTTAGCGGAGAACAGTGGCAACTGAAACGAACAAATCCTTTAACCAGCTACGTTTCGCTGCTAAAACCAGAGACGACTGGAAAAATTTTTAATAATTATCTGTGAATAGACTAAGATCTAAATCTAATTTTTATAAATGAAGAACATGTCATAATAATAATATTAACTGTGAATAATTGTATTTTTTCATATATAAAAATGTAAAGTAACATTTTGATAAGCCAGCATGACTTCAATTTATTAATAAAATTATTGTAAACAAAATTTCTAACGAATGTGGATTGTGGAATGTAGAACACAAAGCTTTTGGTAAGTTCCTAAAGTTCAATGGCAAGCTTTTCTTGCAAAGATTTTTGTGTGCATAAACAAAATTAATATGCAACAAATAAAAAACAAAAATTAAATTAAACAAACCAAAAATTCAAAAAAAAAAATAAATCATGTTTTCACGAAAGCAAAAACAAAATTTTTTACTATGCCAACAAGTTGCGAAAAACTAAAAATTATGTTCCTAAAACTAAAAAACAAAGTATTAATAAATAAATTAGTTGAGAAAATTTATTTTTAAAATGTGACGATTGATGTGACTAATTTATGTCATTTGACATACAAACGAATTTGTTGAGAAGACTAATAGACGATAATAAAAATGATACAATATCTTCTTCTGATCTAGTTTTTCTCTATATTCTTCTATATAAATGCGATGTACATATGTATATAATTTATGTGCAATTTTCATTACAATTTATAAACAAAATGTATACTTACTGCGCAAAGAAAATTAAAAATATATAGAATTAATTTTAAAATTTTTGTTGAACAATACATTTTATTTTTTATGCAATTAAAAAACTTTAATTTTAAATTTTACTATTTTTATACATATATATATATGAATATTTTATACTAAACACTTTAATTTTATATAAATGTTTTATATAATTATTATGTTTTAATTGTTTATAGAATTTTACAAAATTATTTTTGATTTATGCTTTATTATATTGTAATTACATTATTATAGATATAATATTATAAATTTAATATTATATATAAATAAATTTTTTTTTTTAATTTAATTTGTAACAAATTTGTTCTTGCACTAATTTAATTGGCGGCGTTTACACCACAAAATTTCGCAATTTGACCGCAAAACTTTTCGATATCAAAACAAATTGAAAAATAAAAAATCATTTGTCGTGGCACCTCCACAACAATTCGAGGCACGTTTTAAAACTGAAATGCCACAGTCAAAGCGGTAAAATTGTACCTTGGGCATAGCCAATAGACGACATAAAATTATGGGGAAATAAATATTCAGCTTTTGTTTTTATTAACCAAAACAACAACAGCAATAGCAATAGCAACAACAACAACAACATCAATACCACTAGAACAAGAGCAATAACGTCATTAATACTGACAATATTTTCATGATTATGTTTGCTTGGCCATAATACAAAATGCAATATAAGTCAAAAAGACATAAAAACAAAAACAAAAGCACAAACAAATAAGAAAATGAATAAGAAAAAAAGAAAAAAAGAGAAAAAAGTCAAAAGTTTTCAAAATGAAAATTGTTGAAATTCATCTCCTACGCCGAATTGGAAAACGACGACAACTACAAGACGCGATGGCGCATCACTGAATTGGCTCATGCAGTCATAACCATCGGAAACTGCGGCCAGGTCCATAAAGATTACATGTGAACATATGTTAATTAACGAAAAAAAACCAAATAAAGCAAACTCAAGAGCATTTTGTTGTAATAAAAACTTACATATTACATCCGAAATTGAAACAAATCTGTTTGCATGGCAGGGAAACTCAAAAGTTTATGTTCAAAATTCTCGTACCATCCATAGACAATATATTTTATGGTTTGACTTCAATCTACTGGCTTAAGGTGGAACACAGAATAAAATTTATAAATGAGTTTAAGATAGACAGATAGTTCTACATATGTCATCATTAAAAAATTTAATTTGAAATCAAACTTCTAATGTTACCTGAAACCTACGAGAAAATTTATTTCTTTTTTGAAAAATTAATTTATAAATTTCTAAATTAAATTGTTTATTCGAATTTTAACTTCTTTATGGACAAAAAAAATTGAAATATTTGAACTGAATATTTGAAAACAATGCGTACATACATTTTCTTATGATATTATAAATGAATACGGTGAAAAACACATCGGAGTATAATAAAGGTAGATCAAGAGGTAATCCACGAGCTAAATCTGTTGACTGAGATTACCCTTATCTGCGTTCCTGGACATAGGAATATCGAAGGGAACGAAAAAGCTGACAGTTTCGCCCGCTCCGGTGCTTTCCTGGATGTGTCCCTAACAGTATCGGTGTATATCACCCTAGATGCCATTAAGATAAGTACTTATCTATACTTTCTTTAACTTGCCAATAACAGATGGAAAACACTTAAGCCATATGCAACTACCAGGTTATCATGGCCCACTTATAATAAAATTAGATCCTCGGAACTCATCAAACACTGCAAAGCATACTGCAGTTTTCTCTGGTCATTGGTGTATAGAAACCTTCGCAGAAAAACTGTGTATTCCTTATAATCTTCACTGCAGAAGCAGGAAAAAAAACCGTTACACATTTTCTCTGTGAATGCCCGGTCCTGGCGTTCAGAAGATATTGATTTTTAGGAAGATATTTCTTTGACAGTCTATCAGACTGTTCATCGGTGAAGACGAGATACCTATTAAATTATCTGAATTCGGCGGGATAGATTTAGTCTTTATACTAGGGGTTCTTGCGTGTAATGTGGTACCAAAACAGCGAAAAATTGCTATTTGAGGTACATAGAAGTTATCCATTGTATAACTGCCACTGCAACCAAACAACCACCCATAACAAATCAATTATTTTTATAGTCTTGACAAGACAATTTGGCTTAAATATATCCATCTTTTTACTCTTAAAATTATTATTTAAATGGGCCTATTTACACTAACATGAACGTAACATGAACATGAACTTGAAAACTGGTTACTTATAGATGAGAGAGGAAAGAGAGTATGAATTAAGTTCATGAATTTCACGCAATGATATTTGCTGCGTTTTCAATTTGGCTTAAATATATCCATCTTTTTACTCTTAAAATTATTATTTAAATGGGCCTATTTACACTAACATGAACGTAACATGAACATGAACTTGAAAACTGGTTACTTATAGATGAGAGAGGAAAGAGAGTATGAATTAAGTTCATGAATTTCACGCAATGATATTTGCTGCGTTTTCTCAACTTGACACGCATACATATGCAATGTTATGAATACTCTCTATTTCTATGCTCTGCACTACTACACACAAGCATTTTATACTGAACTAACAGTTCATTTTGTCGTCAAGCTCATCTCACGTTCATGATAGTGTAAATAGGCCCAATAGATTATTTAAAACATTTTATATAGATTAAAAAGATTGTATGCAGTAAGTTATTGAATGGATAAGTTGTAAGGAAAGGTGAATCATTAAAAAATAGTACGTGCACTAAAGTCAATATACCATTACAGTGGGAGATATCAAACTTCAGTGTATATAAAATTAAATCAATCAAATAGTCAAACTCTTAGTCCTGTCTATTCTTTCGACTTGAATGTGAGTTTATGAACTAGTAAACACAATAAACTTTCAGTCTTTGTACTAATCAATTAAAGCTTGGAACATTTTGTGATTCTTAATAGATAAAGTGACATGGTTGATATCAAAATGACACGCAATGACTTTCAGGTTATTGGCGATAACGTTTGAAAATGTTATTGATAGAATTATAAATCTACTCAGGACTGTGAACAGTACCAAGAAGTTCCGATTACCTACTGCCTAAACTATTTATCTGTCTGGAGAGTAGAAAATATTTAAATCTCTTTAGTTGTAATTGTACCACATGTGATTATATGATTAAGTTTGTGACATTTGTCCATAACAAAATATGTTATTAATGCCTTTGACAAAACTAGTCATGTACAAACTACCCTTTCTGCAGTTTTCTTTGTTCCAAGCATTTCCCGCAACTATTGTTTTCCCCCAAATCCACCACGTCACTATTCTCTAGTCCTTTCATGGAAGAGTGAATATTAATTTAGTAACTTCGTTGTTAGAAAGAATAGTTAGTGTAAGTTACACTAACTAAGTAAGCAGTGAAAACATGCTATTAGTTGTTTAGAGAAAAAGCCACTTTTAAGAGAGTGTATCAGAATTTATACCGGTTTTCCTATTTTTTTTGTATTAATCAACAAATATTTGATAACACAGCAGATCGGTAATGCACAGTAAAAGCCATATAACTATACTAGCATACATATAGCATATAGCAAATGTCGATTATAAGTCTTAAAAATTTATACATACTTATATTTACATATAGCTTTTAATTGGATGACAATTTAAGTTGCAAATACGACAAGTATGATTGTAATTATTCACAAACAAATTAGTAGTTATATATTTATTATAAAAATAATTTAAATAACAATTTTTATATTAATTAGTATTGTTTAGTGATTTATTTAAATTTTTTTTTGTTTTAAATAAATAAAACCAAAAAAAAAAAATTAAATTAACAATTGCATTGATTAATTCTTATATATATTGTATATTATACGAAAAATATTTGAACAAATATCTTTTGTTGGTAATTGTAACATAATTAAAATTAAGACAACTTTTTTTAGAGTTAATAATTATAAAAATGTAACGATTTATTTAAATTCTTAAATTTAATGTTATTATAAATACATTTAACAAGTTCATTTAATATTGTCTAAAACATGTTTAACATAATAATATATTATATATAAGAATTGCAATATTGAAAAATTGTTTATATAAAAATCTTAACGTTTATATTTGAGTATATATGTATGTATATATTTTAAAAGCAGGTAGGCTTTTATCGAAAATGCATATTAACCATTTTGTATTTAAACTTAAGTGTTTTTAAATTAAATGTTAATGAAGTAGAAACTGAATTGTAAAATTAATATAAATCAATATCAATTAAATACAAAAATCTGAAGTTTCTTAACAAATTGTTAAATAAAAATAAATTAATCAAATCTTTGTAGACATACATATATTGCTTAGAGCTAGAACAAATTATACAAAAATCGTTTAAATTCGACTTAAAACTAATTTTCGAATAGTTTTTAATCCTGTTTAATGAATTTTTGAATGTTGAACACGAGTTTTGGCACATTTTGGACACTTTTTATAAGACAGAACTACTGAACTTATGAGGTAGACTAGCAAATATTTTACAGATATTTATATCAGTTATTTGCACAGTATTGAGAATTCTTTGGTGTAAATTACAAATTAATTTAAATGTATTCGTTTTAGAAATAATAACTTAATTATTTATTTTGGATAATATTTTGAGCGACGCCAGCGATTAAGAATGCTATTAGCCAAAACGTATGCGAAAGCTGCACAGATGAGCTGAAAAGTAAATCAAAGTTTTAACATTAAATCAAGTTTACTTTAATTCTGTCTACTTAAATTACCTCAACCAATACCAAAACAAGCACAAAGATATTAAAGAATATCCAACGGTCAGACACGTAATCCAAAAATTTCTGACGGCAACCATCCGCATTGAGTTTTTCGTTGTGATTATAACAGCTATACGGTGGTAAAAGGTAATCTTTTGGACCAGTCTTGCCACAGCACTCAAGCTAAAATGGCAATTAAATTAAGTAAGCATTTGATTAATTTGTTTTTAATTATTATTTAATTACTTAATTAAAAAGCAATAAAAACAAATTACATATTCTTTATAGCATAAAAAATCTTAAGAAAACTGGAAAAACTTACCCATCTTTCTAAGCTTGCAATTTGGCTGGCATTTCCTGGTTTGATTGGTGTCGGTTGTTCCCGCCATAATTGATCGAATGTCTTGTCTACATTTATCAAAAGCGATGTTTCAAATATCCAGAAAAAGGCGACAATCAGCAATTGTAAAATAACTAATATAACCAACAGCACGACAAACTATTTGACAAAAATTTATTAAATAATATTAATTATTTCTTTAAGAGAATGTTTGGAATACAGTATGGGAAATAACTTACTCCCTTTGACCAGCAACTTTTTTCGCGTGCCGCACTCCAGGATCCGAAGAGAGCAGATAAGGTAACTATTATGCCGGCAGTAAGCACTACGATTGCCACATTGTTGAAGTGCTCAAATTCGATAACAATATACACACCCAATCCCAGCAATATTAGGCCGAGGATCTACAATAAAAATATTTAAGTTTTGATTAAAATAAAGTTTATATATTGCAATATTTATAATTTTATATTATTTAAAAATCAAATAATATTATTTATTGAAGATGTAGCAAGAAATAAATGTATATGTAATACTGCGTTAGAATCAACACAAGAATATATTATATACGGTATATATATAGGCTTACAACATTGTTGTCCACAGTCCAGAAAGTATTTGTCTAAAAAAATTTTATTCGAAAAGATCAAATTTTAACTTTAGAGATTTTGGTTATAAAATTGAGAGCAATATAACCCAAGTAAGACTAAGTATGTAGTACCTATTTCCATACCTCTTCAAAGTATTAACCATACGTAGCTAATAGTGCTCCAAATAGTGCTTTAAGTTTTAAGTGTAATGTTCAAAAGTTCAGGCATTTTTCTTTCGATTATATTGGGATATACAGTATTAGTCATTTTAGGTGAAACTATCTGGTAACACTATAACATTGGCAGGGAAGTTAAGAATAACTAATGATTCCACGTGCTTCAAATGTCACACTTTAGAAATTTTTTTAATGAAGCAATACACACCAGACAAACCTACTAAAGCCTAAGAGGGTTTATGGTAAATAATCATTATGAGTTAAAAGAGGTACTTCATGTTAAACACCAATCAGCTGCATTATTGCTGCATTTATGGCGATCGTTTGTAAAAATGGTAAGCACCACTTCTGGGACTGCTTCCGGCAATCAATTTTTTGTACTCTTATTCTCCAGTCGCTTGTTATTAAAAACTAATTTTTGATATCGCCAAACTTTTTCCTTTTAGTCTATTTGATGTTATATGTTCATATCAACAAACCAAAGACATTAGACGAACTTAAGGTCAATCCACCAGAATATATCCGTCAAAGCAGTCGAAACTTTGACAAATATGTTTAAAAATTGCCACATTACGCCATTCGAGTTAAGGATGGCTAATTGGGCAATATTATCTTCAGTGATGTATTTAAATCTCCTTAAATCACATTAAATAATTTTTAACTTAAACAGCAAAAAACGTGTTTTTATGCTTATTTGTTAAATAAGTCAGTTCACCTAGTATGACCAGCTCTGTATACTTTATATATATACATATATAGCTCGGATATGGTGTTCGATCATTTATCGATCATAATGTATTTGTATAAAAGCAGCTAACCATATATAACAATATATTATACTGAGGTCCCACTGAAGTGAAGAATTAACCAAATTAGACTACTTGATCCTTTTTCGTTGTTCGATTCTCTGATGTCGTTATTGAGTTAAAGCTTCCGTTCACATAACTACATCGCTTGTTAATGAAAGCAGCTCATTTAGCTTGAGGTTGCCTGCCAAGTCATCACCAACCCAATGGTGTACGAAGACAGTCTTCCTCCTACTTGCCAGTGCTGGACATTGGCATAATAAATGTATGCATCGCTGTCTCCTGTTCTTCTAGATATAGTGTGCAAGTGTATATAACAGTCAGTAAAATGTAAAGACCGGACTGTAAAATGTTAACAGATGAATGTCATGTAACTGACTTTAACATTATCTGTTGTATATTTAATGTTATTAATTTGAATAGTGACATTGTCTAGTTCCCATATTAAATTTGAAACGCCATCGCTGTATGTGGGTTAGTCAGTTAATTCCAATATTGTTTATTGTATTTAATGTAAAAATTAATTGTGCTCACTTAATATTGAAGCAATACACAAGCCCATAAATAAATTATATTAAATTTTATGAATTGAATTGTTATTGTTTTGACTAATTGGGCGTATAAAATTTCGTTACCTTGATTACGCGTATTTAAGCATATATCAACAACAAAATTTACATATGTAAAGTTTCAAATGGTTTTGAATAGTAATTTTTCGAAGGGAACCTCATAGACGAACAAATAATCTACAAAAACTGTGAAGTTAATAAAAAATGTGTACACATCCGTTTTTCTATTGATATTTAGAAATTAATTATTGCTAGAACTATTAATGCCCTTCAGCTTAAATAAGTTCGACCAAATGTGATATGTAAACATGACCGGAATCAAATTCATTATGTTATGGCACGCTTATGCTTAGGTAACATTTTTAACTATGGAAATACAGTAATTAAATTATATAAAATACTCATTTCCTGCTGAATGAAATTCGATGCGAAACAAATTATTTAATTTTCTCTGGTTTTTCAATTGTTTTGTAGACGATTATCTGTTTTGCTACCAAAGGGCCCGGTCAACACTTTTACAAATGTGGTCAACTCGATAATCGACTTAATGACTTTTGTGGCATTTGTGGAATTACGGTGCTTTAGGTGATTTCATTTATCAGTTATTTCAATTCAGTTTAAGTGAATAATCGGCGATTGAAATTGAATTAAGTGATTGATTTAAATAAGCTGAATGAGTATTTCTATAACACTTGTTAACGTTGTCAATTGACAAACCAATGTTATTGACCTAAGCAAGCTACCAAACTGATTTTTTAACGTAGCAGATTTCAAAAACTTTATCTTAATGCCTAGACTTATACCTGAATTTTGTAATATACATAGACTGATTTGTCAATTCTACCGTCAACATAATCGATTAACAAAATAAGCAAGGGGTAGTAAACACCGTTTTTAAAAGGAAGTTTAATTATCCAAGAGGCAAGATATATGTTTTTTTTTTGTATTTTTACTATGAAGCTTGTGAAATTCACCATCGGCTATTAGTACTATCGTCATGATACCGGAGTGCCAGTTTCTTAACGACCAAAACACCATATCTCTTCATCAGGAAGACCTTCCTTTGACCATTTTCGTGTTACTTCAGGAAGGAGTAATTATAAGATTATGAAAGATTAT